CTACCAATGCCAACCACTCAGGAAGGGATCAAACCTGGAGATCCTGGGTAGAGTGGGAGGCAAGACATGGAACAAAATCCAAAGACACAGTAATGACCAGAATTACTGGTCAGATGGAGTCTGGTGAGACCCCCAATGCTGTGGCCCTGAGATACATTCTGGGCCTGGCTCTCAGCCCAGTAGTAAACAAGATGTATACACAGACCACTCAACTCAGGGTGACGCACCCACATACTCTATGGAGATGCATCCTTTGGCGCAATCAACCACAGGGCACCAGAAGGGCAACATTTGCGCTGAGTAAATACAGGACACATTGGAGCGCATATAACTATGAGGGACAAGGAGGGGCAGTTACAGGGCAGGGAGGGGAAGAGACTGGTTAGGGTTGGGGATGGTAAATGGGGAGTGAAATTAATTGTACATGAAATGTTGAATGTAAAACAAACTCTCCTCTGTAAACTTGCCCCTAAAGCACAATTTAAAAAAATAATAATAAAATGGAAAAGCGGTAATAATAATAGCAGAATTTTTTTTTTTTAAATAATGAAATGAATTTCACAAGTCTTACTGGAAATCTGAGTCCATTATTAACTTCATTTGTTGCCTCAAAAATTATGTCTAACCAGAAGTTCAGCTGTTTTTGCTTGGGTGAATGTTCAATAATGGATTTCTTGAAGCGTTGAATTAATAGTAAGTTCTGACCTAATGATCGCAGGTACCTGGAAAAACCACAAACATCAATATATTAGATTCCTAGAGAAAATGAATTCAACATACTCCCTTTAAAGGAAGCTCCCCCAAAACATTTTGTTAATTTACGTATATAGCACAATCTCTGAGAGCTGGATCTGAATGGGATTGCCTTGTTTTCCCAGGTCTCACAAGTTTTCTGCCTTTGGCAGGATACAGTTTTACCTTTTTTCTGTCACTCATTTTAGTGGAAATCACTTGAGTTTTCCTTCTCTGACTTGTTTCCACCTTACACAGACTTTGGCTTCACAGGTTTCACTGTTTTAAATTATGTGATTAGTACCTCTCAAACAATCTCTTAGTAGTTGCCTGATTAATTAAAATAAACCCAAACAGAAGGCAAAATAGAAAAAAACAAAAAACAAACAGAGGGGAAAAACTGTGGTTACAGAACTTCTAGATGGGAGGGAAGTCAAGACAACTACAAGATAGAACGGACTGTTCTTAACTTGGGAAGAAAACTATAAATTACAAGGTAACCTCAACAGAAAATACTAAACCTTCACATCCAAAAAGAGGACCAGCATAAATATTCAGCAAATACTAAAACAGTAGCAATGAAGGAATTGGTAACACCATTCATAAACAAAACGAGCTCAGCATAGAAAATTATATGGAACAAAGAAATCGACACCACAAAAAAGCACATAACAAAAATGACAGCAACAAATTCATATTTGCCAATAATTACATATCTGGCAAGGGACTTATCTCTAAGATTTATAGTGGAAGAGTGGATGACCAAATTATGGTACAAGCACATAATGGAATGCTACGTAGCACTAAAGAATAATGTAGAGTCTGCAAAACACCATATAATATGGATGAACTTGGAGGACATTATGCTGAGGGATATAACTCAATCACAGAAGAACAAATATAGTATTAGTTCATTGTCATGGAGGGTCAAGGAAAGCTTTATATATGGAGGGAAACTTTCCTTGTTGGTTGCCGGGGGGAAGGAAGGGGAGGGTACACTGCAAAAAAAAATAAAAATAAAAAATAATTGACCCATGTCACTTTAGTTTTGTGTATTTCACTGTACATAAATTATATTTCAATAAAATGCATTAAAAAAAAAAAGAAATCTCATGTGACTTTTTACCCAGTTCCCCTAATGATAACTTCTTGAGAAACTATAGCACCCTATCACAAACAGGATATTGACATCGATACAGTTAAGATTCAGAACACTTCATCACCAAGGACACCTTTTATAGCACAATGACTTCTCTCCCATCCGGACCCCCTCCTTGAACCCCTGGCAACCACTAATGTGAAACTGATTGTCATTTAAAAAAAAAAAAAAAGAGATTCGGCCAGGAAGATTTTGATGTTATCAAGTCTTGAACCTGAACACACCTTTCTTTTTCTCGGGACAAATCTAACTCTTACAAATATAGTTATCAGGCAGCAGGAGTCACACCTCTGGTACCAAATGAAAGCTGATTCCACTCAAAGTGTCACTTATTCTTTAGCCTCTTGGGGATAAAGTCTGGAACTAATCTGGGATGATAGACCAGCTAGATTCCGACTGACCTTATTGGTATTAGCACTATAAATGGGACCAGAGATCAATGTAATGGGACCATAGCATCCAACCCTAGGGCTCTTCTGGAGGTGGCTCCCTCTGGCCCACATTCAGGGAAGCACCTTAAGGTCAAAACATAAGGATCTGGAGATAGCAGGCCAGTCTGGGAGGGCTCGAGTCTCAGCCCGGCCAGGCTCTGTATCCTTGCAGCCTCAGAGAAGTTTGAAGAGGTTAACATGGCATAGGGGCCAAATTTAAGGTCCTTCAGACTAAGAAGTCAAAATAGATCCGAATGAAGAAATTCCTACCCCTGAGAATCGAGACAGGCCCACTGAGCTGGGGAATGAGAGGTGACAGATGAAAACAGATAATTAAAAATACTCTTGTTTAAATTATATAAGCAACCTATATGCATTTTTGGAAAATCAGAAAGTAGGGATAATTTAAAAGAAAAAATTCTTACAAGGCTATCTTCCTGAGCTAACCACTGTCAATACTTTCAAGAAAATCCCTCATTCATTCATTCATTACACAAATATCTTTTGAGTACTCTTATGTACCACAGTCAGTAAGATAACCATAGTCCTAATAAAACTTAATGTCTATAGGTGAAGTCAGGTATTGCCCAGCTCCCCCAGGCCTTTCTTAATCACATACCAAACACACACTTTTAATGGAAATGAGATCATACTAAAGTTAAAAATCACACATTGCAACAACCTTTAAGAACCTGGTTGAGTTTTGGTGTAGTATTAAAAAGAATAGTTATTATTGCAAAAGCTATTGAAAATCCCTTTCTTTCACAATTACGTGCCTGAGTAAGGCTAGATTTTCTTCACATACTTTAAAAAATATATTGCAACAGACTGAATGCAGAAGCAGATATAAGAATCTAGCTGTTTAAAAATTAGACAATAATTTGCAAAAATATATTTTTTAAAAAAATGAGATCATACAGAACAGTGGTTCTCAAGTGTAGTGTCCAGAGTAGCAGTATCAGCTTCCACTCGTAAATGCAAATTCTTGGGCCTTACCCCACACATCTCAATCAAAACTCAGTGTCATTGGGTTGATTCCAACTCACAGTGACCCCCACTGGGTTTCCAAGGCTATAAATCTTTACAGAAGCAGACTGCCTCATCTTTCTCCCATGGAGCAGCTCGTGGATTGGAATTGCTAACCTTCTGGTTAGCAGCCAAATGCTTTAACCTCACCACCACCACAGCTCTTTACCTCACAACTAATGAACCAGAAATCCCTAAGGGTAGGGCCTTGCAATCTGCATTTTAATCAACATGTTAACGTTTAAGAACCAATGAGATAGAACTGGCTTTTCTTATAGGACAATAAGCCATGAACACTACCATGTCTCCCAAGGATTCTTTCTTGCACATTTTAATGGCTATATAATGGGTTAACCTAGGCCTATTGCTGAGCCACCATTTTCTTGACCACACTCTGTTACTGGTCTTTTAGGTTAGTTCCATTTTCATCGGTGATGAACATATTTTTTGACATGGTTTTAGTTTTACTATTCTGCTTTCTCACTAACGTACTAGTACATTATCACTAATGCCCTATGTACTAACACCAACGAGTGGAGGGGCAGTGGTGATTTGATAGTCAAACTCTCCACTTCCATGTGGGAACCTGGATTTGATTCCTGGCCAATGTACCTCAAGTGCAACCACCACCTGTCAGTGGATGTTTGTGTGTTGCTATGATGTGGAACAGATTTCAGCAAAGCTTCCAGATTAAGATGGCATGGACGAAAGGCCTGGTGATCTACTTCCAATTATTAGCCAGTGAAAACCCTATAGACCACAATGGTCCAATCCCATTGTGCAAGGGGTCATCAGAACTCAAGAGATGACTCGATGGCACCTAACAATACCACTGGAGTGTTTTGCTCTTGGGGACCTATATGGCCTGAAGAAGTTAATAAAATCAAGAGCCTAATCCTGGGGATCTAGCACATAGGGATATACATTGTTTGTGTATGTATGTCTTTCCCTCCCTTCCCATACAATAAAAGCTAGTGAGTTCTCAGAGCTGTTATAACTGCCCTACATTTGCTTTAATGAAGATGTCATAAGAGGAGAAATACAGTGATTGTTATTGGGTTTGGGATTTACCCTTCTACTACCTGAGGCAAACATGTGAGAACAAGATCAGCTATTGAGATGGGTGATGACAACACACAGACGACTCTCACCAGACTGGAGGTTTCAGTTTGAACAACTTCTCTGCTGCTTGGACGGCCTTCCCGGCATCACTGGCCAACATGCTCACATTGAAGAACTGCCCCACGTCCCAGTAGTTGTTCATTTTCTCCAGGCTCCCTTTTCTTCCCAACAAACTGTTCAACTGGACACCTTAAGAATTTGAATGTTAGACAAGTTATGAAAAATGTTGTTTCTCTCATGATTATGTAAGCCTTTAGATACAGGAGAAGCAGATGTTTTATTCTGTTACACTGTCTCAGGAGTGCTTGTAGAAAATAATTGACTGTTCCTTGTGAAATACAATGCTCATTATCTGTACATTTAGTGCTGAACTTGTGTAACCAAAGCATCAACATTTGCAATGATAGATAAAATAATAACCAGTTGCCATTTAGTCATGACCCCACATGGGTCAGAGTAGAATTGTGCTCCACAGGGTCTTCAATGGCTGATCTGTTGGACAGAGATTGCCAAGGCATTCTTCCAGAGTGCCTTTGGGTGGACTAGAACCTCCAACCTTTAGGTTAGCAGCTGAGTCCATCAACTGCTGGCGTCACCCAGGGACTCCCCAATAATTCATAGCTTTACCTATTTTCCTTAGTTCCATGGAAGTTTCAAATTGTTGTCCAGCAACTATCAGCAAAACTGCAAGGTTAATTCCCAAATAAAGAGATGACTGGAGCTCAAACCCTTTGCGATACCTGTAATTAAAGTCACCAAAATCTCAATTTGTCATCTTATCATATGAGAACAAAAACAATGTATAAATAATGGTATGAACCCACTTTCATGAAAATTTCTACTACTGACGCCTCACTTATCAACATGGTTAGGTTCCAAAGACCAGTTTGTTAAGCAAATTCAGTGTTAGGTGAGGGGAGGAGGACACTGGCGAGATGTCCCAGAGCACAGATGCTCAGAACTGCTCTGCCAAGGCCCTGCTGTGAAGGCTGGTGCTCAAGATGACCTGGGTCCCAGCAGCTAGACTAGAGGCACAGTTGTCAGCTCTGGGGCTCAGACAACCCGTGGGGCTGGGGTCAAGATGCTCAGTGGTAGTGGGGTTGCTGCCTGTGCCCACGGCCCTCACAGTTGTCCCCTCTGCAGCCCTGGCTTCCTGCTACCACCCCACAGAGTCTGGGGAGGATCCTACAGAAATAAGCAATGTGCTGCTGGTCTTGGAGGGCATAGAATCTGAGGCTGAGAGCCTGGGGACTAACAGCTGCTCCAGCCTACATATGATCCTACACCTAGAAAACCCAAGAATGCAACATATGGCCATCAAGTCACATCCAACTCATGGAGACCCCTCCTTGGGTTTCTGAGGCGGTATCACTGTATCACTACAGAAGTAGATTGCCCAACCTTCCTTCCGAGGAGTGGCTGGTGGGTTTGAACTGCGAGCCTTCTGGTTAGGTGTCAAATGCCTTAGGCACTACACCACCAGAGCTCCCAGAAAACCCAAGAGACTCAGTAAAAAATCTACTGGAACTAATTGAGAGATTTAGCATCATGGCAGGATATAAGATCAACATCCAAAAATCAGGTGGATTCCTCCTCACCAGAGATTGCTGAAAAAGAAATAAGGAAATCAATACCATTGACAATAGCTACAAAAAAAAAAACAAAAAAAAAAAACTTGGGAATAAATCTTACCAGGGACACAAAAGACCTGTACAAAGAAAATTATATAACAGTATTTCCAGAAACCATAAGAGATCTACATAAATGGAAGTACATACCATGCTCATGGATAGGAAGATTGAACACTGTGCAAATGTCAGTTCTACCCAAAGCAATCTATACATTCAATGCAATCCCAATCCAGATCCCATCCATGTTCTTTAAGGATATGGAAAAACCGATCACTAACTTTATACGGAAAAGAAAGAGACTTCAGATAAGCAAAGCACTAATGAAGAAGAACAAAGTAGGAGGTCTCACACTGCCAGATCTCAAAACCTACTATAAAAGCCACAGTACTCAAAACTGCCTGGTATTAGTATAATAACAGACACACAGACCAATGGAATAGAGTTGAGAACCCAGAAGTAGATCCATCTACCTATGGCCAGCTGATCTTTGACAAAGGGCTCAAATCCAGTAAATAGGGAAGAAAATGTCCGTTTAATAAATGGTGCTAGCAAAACTGGATATCCATTT